AGAGGAGCGAGAGAGAGATACAGATAGACAGATAGGTGTGAGGGTAACCCCCCCACCCCACCCCCATGTTCTCCCCTGCGGGTGGGAGTGATAGACGTGAGAGGTGCCTCCGCCGTGGCACAGAGGAGGGAGGGGAGGGGGTATAGGGCGGGGCTACCGGCCCTCTGACGTCACTCCCTCTTCAAAGCATTTTCGTGACGTTCACAAGCAAAAGCAACCTCCTTACCACCCACCATCTCCCACCCACCCCCTCCTCGAAAAGAAGAAAAAAGAGCAAGAACCCGTTTTTCCGAGGCACTTCCGCCCCCGCCCCCCCCCTCCCCCCTCCGCCCCCCCCCGAGAAAGTGAAGTGTCGAAAATCGGGGACGCCCACTTCTTGCGCCGGTCAGCTGATGTGCTTTCGTTAGGCATGGGCGGTTGGCCGACGCTCACGGGGGGTGGGGTGGGGTGGGGTGGGTGGGGGGTATGGGGTGGGTGTGAGGTGGGGTGGGGGTGGGGTGGGTTGCCTTCTGATTTCTATTGGTTTTGTTTACTTTTTTTTTATTGAATGGTTGATCTGTTTATTCGTCTGTTGGTTTATTTATTATGTATTATCATAATTAGTAATAGTATTAACATGTTAATATTATTCATCAATATTATGATCATTGTCATTACTCTCTCGTTATCGTCATCACCATCAGTATCATCACCCATCCACCAGATAAATCACCGTCATCACCCATCTACTAATCCATGTTCACCACCACTTCCCATCTACCAATCCATCTCCACCACCATCATCATCATCCATCTACCAATCTACCAATCCATCAGTCCCATCTTCACCATCATCATCCTACCAATCACCATCCATCCCATCATCCTCCTCCACCATCACCACAATCTATCTCCACCACCACACCACCAATCCATCTCCACATCGCCATCCCACCAAAACCATCTCCACCATCACCATCACCACCATCGCCACCAATCCATCTCCACCACCACCATCACCACCATCATCACCACCAATCCATCTCCACCACCATCACCACCAATCCATCTCCACCATCACCACCAATCCATCTCCACCATCATCACCAATTTTGGGCAGAGTTTCCCTTCAGCTGAAGAGCGCGCAGAGATGGCGCGCGGGTAAACGACCCTCAGACGGTTCGAAATTCCCGCCAAAAAAAAAATATGTCTCGCGTTTGAATCCGTTGGAGAGGCATCCGGTCCGTTTCGTGACGGATTCGAAGCGTTTCGGACAGTGGCTAAGGAAGAATATGTTTTCTAAAAAAGGGGAGAAGGAGGAGGAGGAAGAGGAATGGTGGAGGAGGAGGGGGAAGAGGAGTAGGGGGAGGGGAAGGGAGAGGACTAAGGGGAGGAGGAGAAGAGATGAAGACGAAGACGAAAAACGGAAAAGAGGTGAAGAAAAGGAAGGTAAAAAAAAAAGAGAGAAGCGACAAAGAAGAAACAGGACACGGATTTTTTTTTTTGTACAGAGAATACAGTGAATTGAAGAAGCCATCTATTTCATGACAGACTCGTTCTACTTCGAATAAAACCCGTTTCGTGTCAAATTCATTTTCACTTTTGTATGAAGCTTCACATAAACTCCATTTCACTTGAAGTAAGCCTCGTCTCACGTCATTTGTGTGGAGCTATTTCCAAGCAAGATTCATTCCACTTTCATAGTTTTTCATCCACTTTAGGTGAAAAAAAAGTGGAGACACGAGTGCATTGCATCCACATCGAGATAGGCCCAACCCCCTTTTCGATTCCCCGCCAATCACAAAAAAAGGAACAAACGCAAGCTCCGCCCACCATCGCGCCCGCCAGCCAATCAGAACGCGAGGAATCGTCCCGGCCCCTCCCTTCTCCCTCCTGGACGGGATGCCCCAACAAGCAATTCATTCCAAGCATCCCAAGCAGTGTGACGACACCTGAATATCCCATGCATTGCTATTTCCATTTTCTTTCTTTCTTTTTTCTTCTTCTTCTTTTTTTTCACCTTCATTGCGTCAACAGTTCTTCGCCTAAGAGAGAATAGGCGATTCCCAGTTCACGGTAATCACTGGTTACTTAAATGACAGCGAAGGAAAAAAAAATCAGGTTTAGGATTAAAATAAGATAAAATCAGGTTTAGGAATCTGCCATCTGCCAAACACACACACACACACACACAAAGACATACACAGTCTATATGTAATAAGTGTGTACCTGATTTTTATCTGACGTTACACTAGGATATGTGTTCCTCCGTGTTAGCAGCTGATAAGGAACGTATCCTTTGTGGCTCTTCTGTAAAGGGAGAATGTTGATGATATGAATGAGGAAGCCATTACGTGGAGGCATTCTTGTAATTGCTCGCAACTGCAGGTGTTGAAGCGTGTACTTCCGTTTATGGACTGAAGGGGGGAAGGGCTTGGGAAAGGGGAGGGAGAGGGAAGGGGAGGGAGAGGAAGGGGAAGGGGATGAAGGGGAAGGCAGAGGGGGGAGGGGAGGGGAGGGGAGGGGGGGAGGGAAGGGGGAGGGGGAAGGGGGAGGGAGAAGGGGAGGGAAGGGAAGGGAAGGGAGGAGGGGGGAAGGGGGAAGGGGGAGGGAGAGGGGAAGGGGGGGAGAGGGGGGGGAGGGGGGAAGGGGGAAGGGGGAAGGGGAGGGAGAGGGGGGAAGGGGAAGGGAGGGAGAGGGGGGAAGGAAGGGGAGGGAGGGAGGGAGAGGGGGGAAGGGAGGGGGGAAGGGAGGAGGGGGGAAGGGAGAGGGAGGGGAAGGGGGAGGGAGAAGATAGATACATATCTGAATCACAATTTCCTTCGATTTCGTAAGGTAATGACATACACATACAGTGGGTATATGTGTGCGTGACTCATCGTGTGTACGTGAATATCTGTATATGTAGGTAATGATGTATTTACAGTGTGTGTAAGTGCACATGAATATACTTATATTTGGACAATAAACGCAGTGTGCACATGTGTGTGTGTGAATGTAGACATGGATATATGTATGAGTGAATAAAGATATATGCTTAGTGTGCACATATGCGCTTGGGAGATCAAGTACACATGAATATATGTACGTGTGAATGATAATGTATACACAGAGTGTATATAAACACAGGAACTAGCAAATATACACGAATATGCTATATTGTATATACATGTAGATGACAACACACACATACCTTGTATACATACGCACACAACTGAACACATGTCCATGAACATACATACATACTAGATAATAACACATACATACGCTATATACACACGCACACGACCGAACACACCCACACCAAGATACTAACACATACCAACATTTTAAACACAGACACACGAATGCACACACACACAACTGAACACAGACACACCAAGATTCTAACACATACCCACCTTTTGGACACGGACACACGAACACGAACACACACACACCAAGATACTAACACATACGAACCTCTTAAACACAGACACACGAATGCACACACACACGAACACACACACACCAAGATAATAACACATACTCACCCTTTAAACACAGACACATGGATGCACACACACAACAGAACACACACACACACCAAGATAACAACACATACCAACATTTTAAACACAGACACACGAATGCACACACACAACAGAACACACACACCAAGATACTAACACATACCCACCTATTAAACACAGACACAAGAATGCACACACTTACACGAACACACTTACACGAACACACACACACACCAAGATAACAACACATACCCACCTATTAAACACAGACACACGAATGCACACACTTACACGAACACATACACGAACACACACACACACGAAGATACTAACACATATCAACCTTTTAAACACAGACACACGGATGCACACACACAACTGAACACACACACAAACACACACACACCAAGATACTAACACGTACCCACCTATTAAACACAGACACACGAATGCACACACACACAACTGAACACACTCACACCAAGATAATAACACCGACACACGAATACACACACACACACTCACACGCCCACACGCCCACGCAGAGCAAGCGAGACAAACAAGTCGTAGAATCCGCCCCACAGACTGGGACAAGCAAGCCGATCTGATAATGGAACCAGATGGGCCAGGAACCGACAGCCCGCGCAGCCGAACCGGGAACCAGTGCAAGCAGATCATGCACAAGGAGGCAGCCAGGCACGCACGCACTCGAGAAGGCAGCGCGTGACGGGAGCGGTAAGAAAGTAAGCAAGGAAGAATACAAAGCAAGGGTGGAAGATATATGAGCGTATGAGAAATTATAAGTGAATAAGTAAACAAGGAAATTAAAAAAGAAAAGAAAAGAAGGAAGATATGTTATAAGCGTATGGGAAATTGCACGTAAACAAGTAAATAAAAAAAGAAAAAGAAAACAAGGAAGATATGTTATAAGCGAATGGGAAATTGCACGTAAACAAGTAAACAAGGAAATAAAAAAACAAGAAAACAAGCAAAGGATGAAACATAAAACAAGTAAACAAGAAAGCCAACAAACAACAAGCTAACAAACAAACGACAATACAAGAAAGCCAACAAACAAGTACCAAACAAGCAATCAAGACCAACCAGACCAAAAAAAAAAAAAGAGAGCAAACAACCCGAAACGAGCAATCAAACAGGAGAAGCAATTAGGAGATAACAGCGAAGACCATTTATGACAGACAGACAAAAAAAAAAAAAAAAAAAAAAAAAAAAAAAAAAAAAACAGAGAGACCATATAGTCAGGCCAGACCACCCGATTCGCCTGGTCTGCTAGATAGACCGTGGACGTTTGACAGACCAGGACCATTAGGCAGACTAGACCAACCAGACCAGACCAACCTGGAAGATAAGACAGGCTAGACCTAAAAGACCAAAGGCCAAGGGAGCCAGTTAGACCAAACACACCAGGGGGGGGGGGGGGGGCAGGCAGACCAAACATGCCAAGCAGACCAAAGAGACCACACCAAGCAAACCAGACTGACCAAGTATATGAAACGGACCAAAAAGGGGAAAAAAAGATATAACCAGGCCACTCAAAGAGACCAGACCGAACCAAATCAACCAGAAAGACCAAACCCATCAGACCAAAGAAACCAAACCCACCGGACCAAAAAGACCAAATCAACCAAATCCACCAGACCGAACGAAATCAAACCAGACCAAACCCACCAAATAGCAGACCAAGACCAAACCCCAGACCAAACCCACCAATCCGAGCAGACCAAGACCAAACCACCCAGACCAAACTCCCAAATCAGACCAGACCAACCCACCCAGACCAAACTCACCAAACCCACCCAGACCAAACCCACCAAATCCGAGCAGACCAGAGACCAAACCCACCCAGACCAAACCCACCAAATCCGAGCACCAGAGACCAAACCACCCAGACCAAACTCACCAAACCCACCAGACCCCCACCAAACCACCAGAACCAAACCCACCCAGACCAAAACCAAACCCACCCAGACCAAACCCACCAATCCGAGCAGACCAGAGACCAAAACCCACCAGACCAAACCCACCCAGACCAAACTCACCAAACCCACCCAGACCAAACCCACCAAATCCCCAAGAGAACAGACCAACACCAAATCCGAGCAGACCAGAGACCAAACCCACCCAGAAACCACCAAACCAAGACCAAACCCACCCAAATCCCCAAACCACCAGACCAGAACCAAATCCACCAGAACCCACCAGACCAAACACAAACCCACCAAACCACCCAGACCAAACCCACCAAAACCCACCCAGACCAAACCAAACCCACCAAACCCACCCAGACCCAACCCACCCACCAAACCCACCCAGACCAAACCCACCAAACCCACCCAGACCAAACCCACCAAACCCACCCAACCCACCAGACCAAACCCTCCTCGCGGACCAGACAGCCAGGCCAGACGTCGGCGCGGCTGTGTTTCGAGGTCCCGTTGTCTGCAGTGGCGATGTTGCAAGTCATCCTGTCTTCCTCCAGCGCCGGGAATCCTTCGCAAAAACGGCGCGGGAGACGGGCCTCGGCCGGCGGGCGCAAGGCGGAAGTGATTGGGGATTGGGGGGGGGGGGAAGGATTGGGGGCCGAAGGATTGGGGATTAGGAAACGGGTGATTAGGGATTGGGGGATTAGGAATGGTGATTGGGAAGGATTGGGATAGGAAACGGGTGATTAGGGATTTAGGCGGGGATTTGGGGATTGGGTGATTAGGGATTGGGGGATTAGGAACGGGTGATTGGATTGGGGATTAGGAAATGATTAGGGATTGGGGGATTAGGAAATGGGTGATCAGGGATTGGGTGATTAGGAAACGGGTGATCAGGGATTGGGGGATTAGGGATTGGATGATTGGGGATTGGGTGATTATGGATTGGGGGATTAGATACGGTGATTAGGGATTGGGTGATTAGGATTGGGTGATAGGTGATTAGCGGTTGGGTGTGTGGCGATTGGATTAGTAGTCACTAGCGGCCGGTTTGGTAGAATTGTGCGAGGCCCGACCCAATGAATATACGTGTACTTGACATGCATAAATAAATCAATAAATGCACATTTACCAATCTGAACATGCATATCAACCGGGCAAATAGATGATTAAATGTATATCTATCTATCAGATATGTAGACAGATTTGCCTTTATTTCTGTGTCTGTATTTATGAAAATTCATTGGGTCGGGCCTGGCACAATTTTAACAAACCGGCTGTAGATTGTTAAAGATAAGGTAATTAGGGTTCTATGATCAGGGATTGGGCAATTGGGTGGTTAGGGAGGGATTAGGTGATTAGGGCCTGGGTAATTAGGAAATGTATGATTATGGATTAGGGGATTAAGGATTGGGCAATTTGGGGGTTGTATGATTAGGGATTGGGTGATTGGTCCTCGGATCGCCGGGGATTGCGGTGGGAGGAGTGGGGGAGGTGGTTTAGGGGAGGGGGAGGGGGGTTGGGTAGGGGGGTTGGGTTGGAGAGGAGGGTTAGTTTATTTCGTTTCTCTCTCTTTCCCGTTTCTCTCTCTCTCTCTCTCTCTCTCTCTCTTTCTCTCTCTCTCCTTCTCTCTCTCTCTCTCTCTTCCTTCTTCCCTCTTCCTGTCCCTCCCTTCCTCTTTCCCTCTCTCTCCCTCCCTCCCCCCTTTTCTCTTCCTCTCTCATGTATATATTTTTTTCGATAATCTTTCCCCCATCTTTCTGCATGTCAGCTTTGTTGATCGGTTTTTCTTCTTTTCTTGAAATTTCTTGGTCATTTTATTCATTTTCTTTAATTCTCGTACATTTTCTGGTTGTTCGTTTCATTCCCTGTTCATTTTTTTTCTTTATTCTCTTGATTCGTTTTCATCCTTTACTGAATTACGTCTTCTTTCGCTTGTATTGTTATTCTTATTAAATTTCATCATTTTTTTTCTTTATTTCCTTTCTTCGTTCGCCCCCCCCACCTCCTACCTTCCCCCTCCCCATCATCTCACCTTCTCCCTCTCTCTCTCTCTCTCTCTCTCTCTCTCTCTCTCTCTCTCTCTCTCTCTCTCTCTCTCTCTCTCTCTCTCTCTCTCTCTTCTCTCTCTTCTTCTCTTCTCTCTTTCTCTCTCATTCCTTTCTCTTCCCCTTTCTCTCTCCTCTACTTCTTGCCTCTGTCTCCTCTCCCTTCCTATCCTTGCTTCTTACCTATTATCTATCCCCTTATTTCCAACACTCTCCTTCCCTCCCTCCTTCCCTTTCTCTCTCACCCTCCCTCCATTTCCCAACTCCCCTCTCTCTCCAATGCCCCTTTCCCTCTCCCTCTCCCTTTCCCCAACCCCAACTCTCTTCCCGCTCCTTATTCCCCACTTCCTCTCCCTCTCCTTAATCATCTCCCACTCCCCTTCCCTCCCACCTCTCCCTCTCCCTACCCTCAGCCCCCTCCCTCTCTCTACCCACCACCCCTATCCTCCTCAACCCACCTTCAGCCCCACCCAACCCCCACCCTCTCCCTACCTCAGCCCCAATCCTTCTCTTTACCCACCACCCCAATCCCACCCACCCCCTCCCACTCCCACCCCCACCCCAACCACTCCCCTTCCCCCCCCATCTCTCCCCACTTCCTCTCCCTCTCCCCACCCTGACCCTTCCTTCTCCCTACCCACCACCCTATCCTCCTCAACCCACCCCCACCTCCACCCAACCCCAACCTCGACGCAGGGTAGGGGAAGGAAACCTCTCCCCTACCCTCAGCCCCCCTCCCTCTCTCTACCCACCACCCCAACCCCTAACCCACCCCCACCCCCACCCCACCCCCAACCTCGACGCAAGGTAGGGGAAGGAAACCCCCGTGGTACGAGGCCAGATGAGGTCAAGAGAAACTGCAAGACACATGGGGCGGGAGTGGGGGAGTGAGGGGGGAGGTGAGTGGGTGGGGTGGGGGAGGGGGGGCCGTTTGAGGGCTTTTAAAACTCCGGTATTTAGAAAGTGGCAACTCAACCTCTAATGTCCGGCTCGCGGGGAAAAAAAAGGAAAAAAAGGAAAGAAAAAAGAGAGAGAGAGAGAGAAGGGAAAAAAATGGTGGTGATGGTAATGATGTGTGTGGGTGTAGCTGCATCTGTGGGTCTTTGGATGTATGTGTGGGTGTAGATGTGTTTGTGGGTGTAGATTTATGTATGGGTGTTTGGGTGTATGGGTGTTTGGATGTGTGGTGTTTGGATGTATATGTGGGTGTAAATGTGTGTGTGGGTGTAGATGTATGTGTGGGTGTATGTGTGGGTGTGATGTATGTGTGGGTGTTTGGATGTATATGTGGGTGTAATGTATGTGTGGGTGTAGATGTATGTGTGGTGTAGATGTGTGTGGTGTTTGGATGTATGTGTGGGTGTTTGGATGTATTTGTGGGTGTAGATGTATGTGTGGTGTAGATGTATGTGTTTGTAGATGTATTTTGGGTGTAGGTGTAGGTTGGGGTGTAGATGTATGGGTGTTTGGGTGTATGGGTGTTTGGATGTCTGTGTGGGTGTAGATGTATGGGTGTTTGGATGTATGTGTGGGTGTAGATGTATGGTGTTTGGGTGTATGGGTGTTTGGAATGTCTGTGTGGGTGTAGATAATGGTGTTTGGATGTATGTTGGGGTGTAGATGTAGTGTGGGTATTTGGATGTATGTGTGGGTGTAGATGTGGGTGTTTGGATGTATGTGTAGGTGTAGATGTATGTTTGGATGTAGATGTATGTGTAGTGTGGCCTTGGGTGTGGTGTTTGGATGTATTGTGGGTGTAGATGTATGTGTGGATGTAGGTGTGTGGCGATGGGCGTGTGTGGGTGTGTGGAATTAGATTGAAGTGTGGGTGTGGAATAGGTGCGGGTGTGTGGGATGAAGTTGCGAGCGTGTGGGTGTGTGGGTTTGGATGTGGGTGTATGGGTGGGTATAGTGTGGGTCTGTGGGGGTGAGTGGCGGGTGTGAGTCTAGGTGTGGGTGTGTGGTGGATGAAGTGTGCGTGGATGTGGGTGTGTGGACTGCGGGTAAAGTGTGCGTGTGTTGGCGTGAGTGTAGGTGGGCGGAGCTGCAGTGAAGTGTGGGTGTGTGCGGGTAAGGTGTGTGTGGAATAGTATGGGAAAAGAGGTCATTTTGGGTGTGTGGGGTCGAGTGTGGGGAACAAGAGAGAGTGTGGGTGTGCCTGTGGGGGTGTAGTGTGGGTGTGTTTGTGGGGGTGTAGTGTGGGGATCGAGTGTGGGTGCTTCACTGTATGTTGAGAAGGAGTGTGGGTGTGGGTGGGGAACTGTGCAAAATGTGGAGGACAAAAGAACGTTTTGTGGATATCTGCATGTGGATATGTCTGTATTTGTATGTGGATATGTCTGTATTTGTATGTGGATATGTCTGTATTTGCATGTGGATATGTCTGTATTTGTATGTGGATATGTCTGTATTTGCATGAGTGTGGATATGTCTGTATTTGTATGCGTGTGTATGTGGGTGCTCGTAGGTATGTAGTCGTGCTACTTACCCATATATATATGCACATAAACGTATGTTCTCGTACATGTATACATACTTACGTAATTGTACACACATATGAATGTTTTTACGTACACGTCTTCACCGATGCTATAAAAAAGCACAATTGATGATGATAAAGTTAATCCTTAATATATCTTGACGTGTTATGTGTTTTACTGTAAGTGATTTTAAACTTGGGAGAGAGATAAACTTATACTGGTTTGGTATGTGTACTTAGGAGAAGGAGGAGGAGGAAGAAGGGGAAGAGGAGGAAGAGGAAGGGAAGGAGGAGGAGGAGGATCAAGAGGATCAAGAGGAGGAGGAAGAGATGAAGAAGGGGAAGGAGGAGAGAAGAAGGAGGAGGAGGAGAGGGAGAATGGAGGAGGAGGAGGAGGAAAAGGAAGGGGAGGAGGAGGATCAAGAGGAGGAAGAGGAAGAGGAAGGGGAAGAGGAGGAGGGGGAGGAAGAGGAAGGGGAGGATGAGGAAGAGGAAGAGGGAAGGGAGGAGGAGGAGCAGGAGGAGGAGGAGGAGGGGAGGAAAGGGAGCAGGAGGAAGAGGAAAAGAATAAGAGGAATTCTTCCTTTTCCCCCTTCCTTCCTCCTTTCCTCTCCTTCTACTTCTCTCTCTCTCCTCCTTCCTATCCTTCT